CCCTCTCCCTGAGGCAGCTGGTGTCCCGCTCCGCTGTGCCGAGCACGAACGCTGCCGAGGCCCCCGCCGGGTCCTGCCTGTGCAGTTGGTCGCCCGCTGCGGTGGGCATCGTCCTTCTCCCAGCCGGGCCCGACGGAGAGCGACCCCAGCGAGGGACAGGTCTTCCTCAGCGAGAGCTGCGTGAAGGTGGGGACCCCGGGAGGCAGCTCGGTGCCTCTAGGAGGGATTCCAAACTGCCTGGCCTGCCCTGGGCGCATAGGGCAGGCATTTGAGTGTTTGCCAGTTTGTTCATCAGGTTTTTTAATCCCATTCCTTTTCTTCTTTGCAGAGGCTGCTGGAGATCACAGAAGGCTCAGAGTTTCTCAGGCTACAGGTGGAAGGAGGTGGCTGCTCTGGATTCCAGTACAAGTTTTCCTTGGACACAGTTATCAATCCTGATGACAGGCAAGGGCAAAGGGGTGTAGTGGTGGTCAGGTGTGACTGTTCTTTGCAAAGGTGACAAGAAAGGCATGTGTGACATGTTAGTATCTTGCATTGAAGAGAAGAAGCCTGTGAGATAAGGAGAGTGCTCAGGCTGTGCTTTTCTGTCAGGTCTGCGGCACAGTTAATGGTTAAACATGCTCCTTTTCTGCAGGGTGTTTGAACAAGGTGGTGCCCGTGTGGTCGTGGATGTGGACAGCCTGGCCTTTGTGAAAGGTTCCATGGTGGACTTCAGCCAGGAGCTGATTCGCAGCTCCTTCCAGGTGGTGAGCAACCCCCAGGCAGAGAAGGGTTGCTCATGTGGGACTTCCTTCTCCGTCAAATTCTGATTGGACTTCCCATGGATGGACACTGTCTGCAGACACTTCCTAGCAGTCTTCAGAGGGTTTTTGCTTGTTCTTTTCCTAGCTGCTCCCTCTCATATCCCTTACCCTGTAACACAGCTGTTACACATGACTCCACTGAGCCTGTCTCCAAGACTTGTGGGCCTTCCGTTCAAAAACATGAAGTAGCCCTGAGCACGCGCGCGGGAGCATCGGCAGCGCCTTGTGAACCCCCGGCCGGGTGGGGTTGACTTGCCTAGCCTGTCCTGAACTTGGAACCACTTAACCGCTTGTCTCTACAAGAGATGGCTGTATATATGTGTGTGTTTATTGAAAGTTCTTACTAAAAAAAAAGTCTTTGAGATTGATTGGTATTGCTCATACATTCCCACACGGGTAGAATCTGGGTTCTTTCAGGCTACTGTTGCTTATCCCTTGTCTTCCAGCTGAATGGGACTCGGGGTCTCTCTCCTGTACACCTCCCAGCGTTGCTGGCTCTCCACTCCCCAACTCACAGTGGGCTTTTCCAGATACTTCACTGTCCTCTTACCCAGCAGGCTTCTCTCAGTCCCTGGAACCTACAGTGGTTTTGCTGTCAGTGCCTGGGATGAAAGTTTTTACTTGTTCAGAGTAAGTGAAGCTAAAAAATTGAGGTAGGAAGAATTAATAGCTTATTTCTTTTGTTTGGGGGGGGGGGGGGGGCTTGTATATATATATAAACATAAAATACGCTGTCCTCCATCCCCCAGTGCTATTCTAGGCCATAGCTAAATCTGACTTGGAATTTTAGGTCGTACAACCTCTCGGGTTTCATAGTGTGTCTGCTGCCTTCCCTTGCCAGCAGGAAGGGAAGTTCAGGTGACACAGGCGGAGGAGGATCTGGAGTAGTACTTAAAGGTCCTCAAGTCCTTTTGACTTACTTGTCTGAGAATCTTTTACAAAACTTGCTTCACCATTTAATCTCTAACTTGTGCCTGGTTTGATGAAAGAATAAAATAGCTCCTCTCCTTTCTGAAATTCTCATGTAATGGCAAATCTAGAAGTTTCCAGAATAACATCCTTTTGAATAGTTGTTTTCTGTAGTTTTTTATCTGCCACTAGATGTCTTTTAAATCAAAGTGATTCATCTGCTTCTGGGTGAAAGGAGAGATGGTGAAGCTATCTTTGTTCCCTCTCTTGTGTTTTATCTGATCGTAACCAAATTGTCTAAGACTTGAGTCTCACGTGAGTGTGGGTGTGCTGCATGACTTTGGTCTCAAGGAAATTGCTTAGGGCAAACCATGAGCTTTTTAAGTCTCCGTGCCACAGGCATTTTTGTTGTTAAGCTTCCCAAATGCCTTTCTAAACTAATAAGCAGCGCATATGTACAGCACTCATTTGGCTATTGATTTCTAGCACTCAGAGAACTGATAGCCAGCTAGTTCCAGTTTCATCTGTAGCTGTTACAGGAGTTCATATGTGGTCTGCTCTGACGTTGTCACGTGGGGAATATGGATGGGACTTGGAGGAGCAGCTCTTTTGGTTTAGCCCTTTCCATTTCCGTTTCCTGCAGTCAACAGGTTCTAGCTAGTTATGTTGCTGTCGAAGGGAGCTGGATGTAGCACTGTCCCATTTTGTAAAAGGAAGTAAAAGGATGTGATTAAAAGACTCGTCTAAACCCTTGCAGGATGTTTTGGCCCCACCCTTATGCTTCCAGGTCTTGAATGTGAGGTCAGCCAGAACTGCCTTTCAAAAGTGTAAGACCTAAAAGCTTGTGTAGGTAGAAGACATTAGATAAACTCGATTTCTTTCAGCTGGGATAACTAAACAAAGTTGGCATGACGAATTGCTTTCTGAACCAGGAAGTACAGATCTGTTCTTGATCACACAGTCTGACCTTGGTCAAGTCCCTTTTAGGATCTTTTATGGGAAATAAAAGTGCAGCAGTAGTGTTGGGGAGGTAGCAAACCAGCAGCTGCCAAGGCTTTTTTTCCCTAAACTAAAGCCTGCCTTCATCCCCTGTAAGCGTGCAGCCTTCATCTTGGATTACTGTTGTTACTAAATGTAAATGTGCCATGTCTGTTCAACCTAGCCAGGTTCCACCTGCCTGCACTGCCTGCACTGATGAAGTAAACCAAGTGAGTGCTGTCCATGTGGAGCACCACCCTTTTCAGATAATTTGCCTCCTCGTTCCCAGGGACTGTACAGTGGATGAGCCTTTGGGTTTCCACCAGTGTCACCAGCGGTGTTGCTGGGCTCATAGGGGAACCTCGCATGTGTAGCTTGCTCTGCCTGGCAGTACTGCTCTAACTGCACTAGATGGACCCCTTACTCCTTGGGAATCGCTGCTCTGGACATGTATGGGCATTTTGACTTCTGATGGGGTGAGGTTGGATCTGCTCTGTGCAGGACCTAGGCAAGAGCAAAAGTTTCTTTGCAGCTGCCTGTTTTGGAGTCGGGCTGGAGCCGAGTTTGTCTGGTATTGCGGCAGTGTGGGCTCTAGATCAGAGAAACTGCTAGGGGCTGGAGAGGTTTCAGCTGTACGACATTGCTCTTGGCCTCCTAGTCCCGCTTCCCAGGAGCGGCTATAGTCTACTGGCCAAAGCTACTAATCTTCCAGTTCCCAATAGGGAATGGGTTCAAAGGGCTGCCTCTCACCTCCAGAGTCCTCCTCACTCTTAAACAAGTCTGTCAGTACATGAGAAATCAAAAACTTCTGTCCATGTCTAGGAAGTCAGCAAAGAGGGTCGTGTTAGCAGAGGGCAGTGAAGGTGACCTTGGTGAATTTTGGCTGTGTAGGCAGAAAAGGCTAGATCCTGGCTCCTGTGGAAGAAAAAACCCAACCTGTCAAGGTTTGTTCACTGAATAGCCTTAGGGGGCAAAGATGGCACCATGCAGTAGGCTGTGGGGCAAGACCAGCGGTGCCAAGAGACAGGTGCAGAGGATTAGACGGGGGATTTGGTTCTGCCTGGGCTGTGAGGGACTGCCAAGGCACGCCTGTGAGATGCCCACAGTGTGGGGATAGGTGGGAGCCCTTGTGCTGAACCACTGAGAAAAAGGAGTACGGAGCTGGAGGTGCAGCCTTTGCTTCATTGCAAATGAGAAACTGCAGTGGAAAATCTTTCTTTGCTCCCACATGAAGAAGGAGGATTCTCTCAGTTCACCCACCTGACAAGGAATGAATGATCAAGAAAGATATTTATGGAAACCTATGTTAAGATGAAACTTCAAGGGAAAAGGGTGCAATCATCAGTGTCGCTGATGGGCGGTTAGAAGAGGGTGGAATAGAAATCCTCACTTTGGTGAGGGCTTGTTGGAGCTCTGCAGGGACTTGTTAGTAGATGCCCAGCACATCCTCAGCCTGTGACTGGCTCTGTTCTTCAAATCAGGTGTTTACCACCACCTATTAACTGTGGGTCCCCCTTCCATGCTTCAAACCAGGCAGCAGTAGAAAAATGGCAGATTTTTGTCATGCCCCTTTTCTTGTGGTTTAGGGATATGCATGGGAATGCCATGCACACCTTGGTGGGCTGCTGCGTGGTATTACTTGCTACAAAGAGCATCTGGGGTTGAGTGGCTCCTATAACACCGAGGGCCAGCCGAGGCAGGGATGTTAGGGGAACAACTGGCCTTCTCACCCCAAAATTTTCATCTGCAAAATTTTGCTGAGCTTAGTCCTCTCCCTTGTGAAATTCTATGTCTGTACAGAGCTGTTGGGTGAGTCAGAAAGACAGCTAGGGGTGAAGAGCCAGTACCCCCCAGATGAGACCCACTGGGGTTTCTGCTGCCCCCACACAGCAGTATAATTTCCTGCCTTCTTGGCTTGCCTGAATCCAGCACCTGGGGGAGGAATTGCTGAACGGTGGAGGAGGCAATAACAGGAAGGCAGGAGTGCGTGAAAGAAGGCTTCTCTTATCTGTGTCCCACACTGTGAAGGCAACTGCTTTTATATCAAAACTGTCTTCAGCCTCGCAAGCATTTTGAACATCCACTGGCAGCTGGAAGTAAAAAACAGAGTGGTATAAACCCCACAATTCACACCCTAAGCTGGGACCAGCCAGAGGAGTTTACTGAATTCGGGGCAAGCGTGCTATATTTCCAGGATGAGCTGCTACAGCACATGCTTGAGGATGGAACCACATGCTCTCTCCAGTAGCAAACACAGCAGTTGGGTTCATTAGCAGAGGGTGTGACAGGATGCACACTAGCTGAAGTGCACACCCAGCATTCACCATGCTCCTCCAGAAAGGGCTGTACGTGCCAGAGAGACTGGTGGCAGAGAAAGGGATAACCTCGCGTAATGGTGTGTTTGATAGGACTGTCAGCCAGCCTGGTAAAAGAACCACAATTCAAGGAGACACAGCTTGGGCAAGAATAAACTGCAGCTGCCTGTAGTGTATCAAACTCTTCCATTTGGGTAATCTTTTTATTTGGTGGTTTGTTTTTTTAAAGAGGATGAATCCTTGAACCAAACACTGTTAGGGGCTAGGTATAGGATTAATGGTGCAGTTTGGATCTTGCTGGGTTCTGAGCAATATGTTTGCTCAGCATGGTTTCCAGGATTAGGCTGCAACTGAAACAGCTCAGTAGATCATGGACTTGGGGTGGGTTTAGCATCCAGCCGTGGACAGAAATGAAGCTGTTCATGACAGCAAGATGGGCCGTTACTCCAAGGCTGTGATTCCTCACCCTGTGGGGAGCAGTTTGCGCACAGTGCTTCCTGCCTCTGGCCTTCCCAGCACTTGTAAGGCTCTTAATATTTCCTGCTTGAGCAATAAGAGTTTATGGCCCTAGTCTTTGTGGTTGATTAGAGCCCAAGTTTGTGCCCTTGTTTTAATCAGTGCTCATTTACCTTTGGCATCCTTCAGAGGAACCGAATGGTATGTCTTTCAGTTGCCATGGAAACAGTGAGACTAAATGCACATTTCCATGGCAACCTGCCATTATCTTCAGCTCTATCTGTGGGTCTCATTTTCTGACCATGGGGGTGGGGTGGTGAAAATGGAACTTCCATCTCTTAAAAAAATAAAATAAGAAAAGATGCTACGATCACTGCTACCTCCTTTCCTGCTCTGGCTCAGGCTTTGGGCCGAGAGCGGCCCATGAGTACTGTCACCATCCCGTGCACTGGGGCTCCGAGTTACTGTCTCCAGCTCTTT